CAGAATTTGCGAAATCTAGTATTTTGTAATACAGATCGGAATTTTGTTCCGTACCGTAAATCGATACGGAATACCGATAAATACCGAAAAATACGGCCGTTTACAAATTATGAAATTTTTTATGGATATAAATTACTCAAAATTAAATTTTAAAAAATTTAATAAAAAAATTATAATTCTCAAATATTTAGTCAAAATTAAAATTTTAATTTTTTTTGAAAGGATTTACAATTCCGTGCTTCCCCAAAATTTATTGTTGGAAGTGGGGGACATTCATTTTCCTCAGTTGGAGCTATTCCAAGTGCTGTAGCAACAACAACTTCTGGTACAAAATCTGATCCTACAACAACAATGAGAAGTAGAGCAGAATCTCCACCAACTTCAAATAGTTTTCCTGAAAGAAATTCAACGCCACACCAAAAAGTAAACAAAAAATATTTTTTTGAAAATAAATTTTTATTAAATTTTTAAATTTTAGTTGCGTGTTAGAAACAATTCTTTTCCATTTTCTTCACTTTTGTTATATTCTAGAAGTTCTTCTGATCAATTAAAAATTTTACCAAATGTTCCTGAAGACGGTAATAATTTTCGTATTTTTTTATTAAAATTTTTAGAAATTTTCCCTAAAATTTTTAATTTTATTTTTGAAATTTTTCTAAACAATCTTTTATAAATCACAGAAAAATGTTAATAAAAAAATTTTTTGTTTAAAAATTTTCCCATAATTTTAATTTTTTTTTGAAATCTTTTGAGTTTGAAATTTTTTGGAATTTTCAAAAATCACACAAAATTTTTAATAAAAAATTTTATTTTTTAAAGATGCTTTAAACACAACAAATTTAACTATTAATAATCCACGTGGAAGCAATATATCTCTTGATAATGATAAAACTTTGCGTGCAGAAGATGTTAGAAGAAACTCTTCTGCATGTACAGAAGAATTTGTAGCGTTTACAATTAATGAAACTTCTAAAGAAGAAGAAGAGAACAATAATAGACAACAAACATCAAGTAAAATATAAATAAATAATTATTAATAACAGAATTTGTAATCAGAATTCGTAAATTACAATTGTAAATTAAAAATCAGAATCTACAAATTGTAAAGGTTTAAATAACAGAATTTATAAAATACATAAAATCAGAATTTGTAATTTACAATTTGTAAATTGAAAATCAGAATTTTTAAAAATAGAGATCAGAATTTGCAAATTTAAGAAATCAGAATTTACAAATTATAAAGTTGAAAATAACAGAATTTTATTTTGTCAGAATTTGTAAATATATTTTACAATCAGAATTTATAAATTGTAATTCTGAAATATCAGAATTAAAAAAAATCAGAATTTTATTTTACTTAGAAAATTTACAATTGTAATTCTGAAAATATCAGAATTTGTAAATTACAATTGTAAAATACAAAATCAGAATTTGTAATAAAAATAAATAAAATCAGAATTAAATCAGAATTAATTATTTATTAAAGACAGAAATACAAAGGTTGAATAAAAATATAATAAATTAAATTAAAAAGATACATTTGTATTTTTAAAAATTATTTTTCAGAATTTTTTTCTTCTAAAACGTCAACAACATCAACGTCACCAATTAATGAACAACAACAACAAAATAATAATAATAATATAAAATCAGAAAATAATGAAAAGGAGGAAGAGGATGATGAGGACGAGGAAGAAGAGGAAGGGGAAGAAGGTGGTTGTTGTTCAAGTGATAATTCTTATGTTAAAGTAATTGCTTTTGCTTCTACAAACGGGTCAAATTCTGAATTGGGAACAGAATTGAGTGAATTTTTTAAAGAAGTTAGATTTGCACCTGATAAATTGACATCTTTGTGTACATCTGAAAGTGCTGTTGAATTGAAAGATCAGGTGGGGAAGGAGAAAAAATTTTTTTTGAATTTTAAAAATTTCTGAGTAGAAAAGTGCTTGCACCAATTTATTCAAAAATTTAGGAAAGCTATTTTTTAATTATCATTAGGGATGGGATTTATATGGATTATAAACACACTAACTGACCATAACTGACCACTGTCTTTTTCCTTTTAACTCATCACTCATTCAATCAGACTTTCTATAGTAATCGGTTCAACCAAATTTTCTTCGATTAACCAAAACCTACTTAGAAAAATTGAAATTTTTGGGGGTTAGTTCGGTTTGAAACAAACAACCCTGTTTATTATTATTATTTTTTTAAGTTGAAAAAACATGTAAATATTTACTATAAGGGAATCAAAACAAAAAATAAAATTTAAATCAAAATATTTTTTAAAAATTTTTAATTTTTAAAAAATATTTTTCTGTTAAATTCTTAAAAAAAATTCTTGGTGTAATTTGATTCTTTTTTTTAAGGATTAACATTTTTTGTCAAAAAAAATTATTCTTTTTTTTCTAATAGTTGGACACCTTCCGTCAACAAGAATCGGGTTTCAATCAGTTTATTAGTGATCTTTGTGAGGAAGAGGAATAATAGAATTTAAAAGGAAGGGAGGGGGGGGGGGAACATAAAAAAAATGAAACAATATATAAAGTCAAACTACATAAAAAAATACATGTTTTTTATAAGGCACAAGAAAAAAAAATTTTTTTTTCCTAGAAAAAGGAAGTTTAATTTTATATTTTTTCATTTTTTAACATGAAAAAATTTTTTTTGAAGAAAATGGATTAAAAAAAATTTTTTTTCCTCCGTTTTCGATCTTCCTTTTTTCTTCCCCCAAATCCTTTGCTTTCTATGCTATTATTAAAATTAAAAAAAATTTTTTTAAATATTTTATAAGCAAAATTTCTTTTTAGAAAGATGAATTTTGATACGAAATTTAATATAAATCATAGAAAAAAATTTTTTTTTGTGAGACTTGGAATTTTATTTTTGAATTTTTTTGAATTTTATTTTTGCTCATAAATTTAATAAAAAAAATTAAATTTTCTAAATACTATTTTTAGGTAGTCTTTTTAATTATATAAAATATAAAAACAAAATTTGGAGGGCCTTTATTAATTAGGAATAATTTTTAAAATTTTTTTTAGTTCTTCCATTTTTAACCCCTAAAAATAGCATTCCTAATAAAAAAAAAACTTGTTTAGATTTTTGAGGTCTTTCCATAGTTTTGCCATTTTTAATTTTGAAAATTTAATTTTTAGTATTTTAAAAAAATATTCTCTACGAAAAAATCTAAAAATTTTATTTTTCTAAAAATGGTAATGTGTTGGTTAATGGTAGATGGAATTGTTGACAAACACGAAAAATGTCATAGAAATCCGCCTGTTTTTGTTGGGCCTAGAGCTTTGCACAAACTTGGAATACAATATTTTTATGTTATTTTTTTAATAATGAAGAAGGGAGAGGCGGGGGGAATGTCTCGAGATGTTTCGAAATTTCGTCTTTTGATTTCGAAATTTCGCTTTTCAATTTCGTCTTTAGGTTTCGAAATTTCGCGAATCGTTGAAAAATTTCGATTTCGAAGTTTCGTCTTTTCAATTTCGTCTTTAGGTTTCGAAATTTCGTCTTCTAAAATTTTCTGCTTCGAAACAGCTTTGGAAGGGAGGGGGGTATTCTTAAAAAATTTTTATTTCTTTAAATAGATCCCTGTAGAAAATTCAGAAAAGGGATTGTCTAGTGTTGCAATGAGTAGAGGATATGATTATAAAGATGAAGTTGTTATTACAAGGGAAACGATGGCTGATTATGATGAGTGGTTGAAACGTTTTTTTGAAGAACATTTTCATCCGGAAGTGAGAATTATTTTTTAAAATTACCTTAGGTGTTTTATTAGAGAACTTTTTAAATACCTACAAAATATCTCAACTTTACATACGTTCTTTTAGGCTTTAATTGACCAATGGGTGAGGGAGCTACCCTCTATATGAGTTAAACCACTATTAAAACTTCTATAAGTAGACCCAATGATAGATACCAATAACCTCTGTTTAAGATATATTTATAAAATAGGCTGACCACTGGTTGGGGAAATCTGCCCAAATGATACCCTCTATTTAATAAACACTTCATCATAAGAGACTAGTTTTTTCAGCCCTAAGGGGTACCTAAACTTAAGTTTCGCTTTAATAAAATTTATTTTCAAGGACGCAATTCGCTATGTAGTTGAAGGCAACGGCTTTTTTGATGTCCGAACACCCGAGGATAGATGGATTCGAATACTTGGGGAACCTGGGGATTTATTAATAATCCCTGCTGGAATATTCCATCGTTTTACAGTCACAAAAAAGGCAAATTTTGAAAGATTTTTGGTTAAAAATTAATTTTTTGTAGGGCTATATCAAAGCAATTCGAATGTTTAAAGGAGACCCTAAATGGGTAGCTCATAATAGAAAAGACCCAAAAACGGAAAGAATGGAAATTCGAAAAAATTATTTGACAAAATTAAATAAATATACTAATCAAGAAGTGCTGACTACAATTTATTAAAAAATAAATATTGGAAGAAATTTTGAAAAAAATATATTTGGTCAAAAATAATTGAAAAAATACGTTCACTTTATTTGTCTGAAACAATAAACTACCTATTTTTTAGATTTTTAAATTCAAAAATTTTAAAATAAAAAAATTTTTTTCTTCTCAACTTGGATTTTTTGGTAGCCCTCAAGTATTAGAACTTTATAACCATTTTAATTTAAACCCATTTTCTTTCTATTGTGGAAAAAATTGTATAAATCTCGGACGAGCCTAAATGTACATGATTATCCTCAATATTTTCAAATTTAGCAACAGCAGAATCATAAGTAACCGCATATGGGAAATCAAGCATTGTCCCAAGTTTTAAATAAGTTTTGGCATTTTCCGAGTCCTTATCCTAAAAATTTTTTTTAAAAATTATTATGTTATGTATTAGAGATCGGCCTGGGTCTGGACCCAGGCCAGGGGTTTTCCTGTACCTAGAGTTCAGGTTCAGGCATTTTTTGACCTTCCTGGGTTTTTCCTAGGACTGGGTTTTCCTGGACTACAGGCCCAGGATCCGGCACAGGTCAATAAATCAAACCCCAGAGTCCAGGTCCAGGCTCTTCAAAATATCCGATCTCTAGTATGTATTTGTAATAAACAAAGTTGGAAAGTGCACATACACTGAAGTAAGCAACAGCGGTAATTTCTGCAGAATCCCGGAATTCTTTAAGCTCATTGGTGGAAGTAAGTTCCTTAACTGGAGATATAATCTTATTCACAATCCAAGCAGCGATGGTAGCAACATCATTAACTCCTTCATATTCGTAATGTTTGCCTAAATAAATATGGTTATTTTTGGATATTTTTTGAATATCTCTTTGACAAATAACGTCAGATTAGAGTTTCAGATCGAAAATTTACGAGTTTACGGTTTCTTTTGGATTTTCCGGAACCTTTGGCATTTCCGATCGACCCTTGGTACTGAGAGTCTGATACCTAAAACGCTAGCGATAAGGTAAACATAAGAATATCGAGATAATAAAAACCTTTTACGAAGAATTTCAATGTTGGATAGCTACGCACTTTATAAGTAGAAACGAGTTCTGTTTGAATTGAGGCATCAACCTTGCCTAGTGTGATTGGCGACTTTTCTTTCTTCAATTCAGTAGCTAGCTTTGCATATTCTGGTGCAAGATCTTTACAGGCGTCTAAACAATTTTGAGTAACCAAAAACAAAAACCAAAATTCACTAACCACACCACGGCGCGAAAAATTCTACAAGCATATACTCATTGTTTTCGATGGCAGATTTGAAATTATCCTAAAAAGTAATGGAATAATCCTTAAATAATTACTAGTGATCGAGATTTTTGAAAAGCCTGGGCCTATTCTGGGTTCTAGGTTTGATTTATTGACTTTGGCAGGATCCTGGGCCTGTAGTCCAGGAAAAACCCAGGCTAAGGAAAAACCCAGGAAGGTCAAAAAAGGCCTAGGCCTGAACTCTGGGTCAGGAAAACCCAGGCCTTGGTTCAGATCCAGCTTGAATCGTTGTAGGGATTGTAGGAATATTGTAGGGCATTTGATAAGGGATACTTGTTTCAACTTTCGCTGGAGGAGGTTGCAATAAATGCAAGTGGGGGTAATCTTCGAGAGAGTAGATTAATAGTTTATACGGTATAAAACTCAAAAATTCAAAAAACCTTTGTTAGAACCAAAACATTATCTTCCTCTTCAATAAGATCATCAAGAGTATTTTCAAAAGGAGGAGGCTTTTCACTAGCCTTCACCAAAAAATTTGCGCTAATAATTAACAAAAAATTAAAAATAGAAAAGGAGATCATCAAAGCTACTTTTCTAACAAACTGTATTTTTAATAGTCTTTATATTCAAAATAAATATCTAAAAATTTGAGAAAAAATAAAAAATCTGTGGATATTTCTGGTAAAAATTCCCCGTCTTGCCTACTCTAAAACGGGGTAATAGCTTATTTTTAACACATAACTCTATCTAAATAGATTTTGATACCATTCGACTCCCCTCGAAAAGCTTCTTCGAATGGCTTATTGTTTATCCGAATCGGAGTAACCTTTCCAATTTGTTGGTTTATAGAAAATCTTCGGTCCTTCGGTTAGTATTAGAGATTGGCCTGGGTCTGGACCAAGGCCTGGGTTTTCCTGTACCCAGAGTCCAGGTCCAGGCATCTTTTGAACTTCCTGGGTTTTTCCTGAAATACAGGCCCAGGATCCGGCCCAGGTCAATAAATCAAACTAAGAATCCAGGCCCAGGCCTTTCAAAAATACGGATCTCTAGTTTGTATTCATTCCAAATTATTTCTAATCATAATCAAAAGACAGCGTATTATCAAAACATTTATTCGAAACATTTTTATTTTTTAAATAAAAATTATGAAAAAATTTTTGTGTTTTAATTGAAAGTGAATGTAGCAATTTTACGATACATATTTTTGTTTATTTACAACAACCAACCAAAATTGAGAACAAAAATCATTTTTTATTTTCGAAGCAAATATTTCCTAAACGTTCTTCTTGATTAATTAATCTTGTGACTGGAGAAGAAAAAAACAAAAAAAACAAACAAGTGTCCTCCGACCATAAATTACTATTTTATATTTTTTTGCAAATTTATTGATATTATTTGATCAATATTTTTATTAAAAACAAATTTTATTTTTGTTTTTAAATTATTTTACAATTGTAAAAATTGTAAAAATATTCAACACATGCCTAGTTTTTAAATTAAAACAAATTTATTTTTTTATAAAAAATTTTATTTTAATATGTATTTTGTAGCCCATTTAATTCTCTATCGAATGGTGTATAAATCATAAAAATTGGTCCATCCAGTCTAGAGTAATTAATTCGGGAAGAATTTAAGAAAATTAAAGATAAGATAACAGAAGGGTAATTTAATGTTTTTTAAATATTATTAATATTTTTTATAATTGTAAAAACATATTTAAATTGTAAAAACATTTAAAAACAAATCCAAGTTTATTTAAAATAAGTTTATGTTTTACAATTGTAAAGAAACTTGAATTGTAAAACTTGTTAAATAAACAAGTTTTAGTGTTATATTATTTTACAAATTGTAAAAAAAAGTTTTATTTAAATTGTAAAACTTTTACAAATTCAAGTTTATTTAAATCAGTTTATTTAAAATTTATTTTTACAAATTGTAAAAACTTTAAAATTATAAAACTTGGTAAATATGTTTTAAATAAGTTTTAGTGAAATAAGTTTTTGCAATTGTAAATCAAGTTTTAGGAGAATGTTAATATTTACCTATTTTTACAAATTGTAAAAATACAATGTTTAAATTGTAAAACATTTATTTCAAGTTTATTTTAAAATATTATTAAGTTTTACAATTGTAAAAAAAGTTTTGTTTAAATTGTAAAACTTTTACAAATTCAAGTTTATTTAAGTAAAAACTTTAAAATTGTAAAACTTGGTAAATATGTTTTAAATAAGTTTTAGTGGAATAAGTTTTTACAATTGTAAAACAAGTTTAAAGGGAGTGTTAATATTTACCTATCTTTACAATTGTAAAAATACAATGTTTAAATTGTAAAACATTTATTTCAAGTTTATTTTAAAATATTATTAAGTTTTACAATTGTAAAAAAAGTTTTGTTTAAATTGTAAAACTTTTACAAATTCAAGTTTATTTAAGTAAAAACTTTAAAATTGTAAAACTTGGTAAATATGTTTTAAATAAGTTTTAGTGGAATAAGTTTTTACAATTGTAAAACAAGTTTAAAGGGAGTGTTAATATTTACCTATCTTTACAATTGTAAAAATACAATGTTTAAATTGTAAAACATTTATTTCAAGTTTACTTTAAAATATTATTAAGTTTTACAATTGTAAAAAAAGTTTTATTAAATTGTAAAACTTTTTACAAATTCAAGTTTATTTATGTAAAAACTTTAAAATTGTAAAACTTATTAATAGGGTTTAAATAAGTTATTGTGGAAAAATATCAAGTTTTACAACTGTAAAAATACATTTTTTAAATTGTAAAACATTCCAAGTTTATTTTAAAATATTATTTATTTTTACAATTGTAAAAAAAGTTTTATTAAATTGTAAAACTTTTTACAAATTGTAAACCTAAACAATTCAACTTTTATCTTTAAAACTTGTTTTGTGTTTTATCCTGCAAAAATTTACTTCCTCGTTTAAACACAACAGACAGACGCGCATTAAAATTAATTCTTTTTTTTTTACTTTTAAAAGTGCATTTATTTAATCAAAGTCTTAAAAAATTAGTTAAAATTTTAAAATTAAAATTCCAGTCAAAATAAATTTTAAAAATTTAAAAAAATGGTCAAATGTTGGCTTTTAAATGACACAATAATTGATCAACGGGAAGAATGTCACCAAAACCCTCCTGTCTACCTAACCCTTGAGGAATTGGCTAATATTGGTGTTGAATACTTTTATGTCCCAACAAACAATAATAATGAAATTGAGGAAATATCAACTAAAAGGGGGTATAATTATAAAGATGAAATTATTGTTTCTCGTGATAAACTGCTTCAAAATTATGAAAATTGTGTCAAACGATTTTTTGAAGAGCATTTACATTTGGATGTAAATTTAAAAAAATTATTTTTTTAATTAGTAAAAATTAAAAATAATTCAGAAAAAAATCGAAAAATTTTTATAAAATTAGAAACAATAAAAAAACGAAATTTCGAGATAATACGAAATTTCGGAAAAAAACGAAATTTCGCAAAAAGCGAAATTTTGGGAGAATACGAAATTTCGCAAAAAGCGAAATTTTGGGAGAATACGAAATTTCGGAAAAAACGAAATTTCGCTAATTTTCGAAAATATTCTCAAAATTTAAAAAATCATTTGCCCCCATTTTCACCAAAATAAAATTTAAATTTTTCCTTTGCAGGATGAAATTCGCTATATTATAGATGGTTATGGTTACTTTGATGTGCGCAATACAGATGAAAAATGGATTAGAATACTTTGCGAGCCTGGTGATCTATTAATTCTCCCAGCTGGAATATTCCATCGTTTTACTCTTACAAAGGATGTAAGTTGAAAATTAAGAAATTTAAAAAATAAACTTGACGCCAAAATTTAATTGCACCGAAATGCCCCCTAGTTTTACCTTCAAAAGGCGACCTAAGCCTGTTTAAAAATTCATAACAATTTTTAAACTTAATATTTTCTCTCCATTTTTTGACTGATTTATAGCCCAGACTCTCCCCTATTTAACGATATAAAAATATAATTTTAAAAATAAAATTGGCGCCCAAATTTATATGCGCCGAAATGACCCTTAGTTTTTCCTTCAAAAGGCGACCTAAGCTTGTTTAAAAATTCATAACAATTTTCAAAATTAATATTTTCTCTCCATTTTTTGACTGATTTATAGCCCAGACTCTCCTCTATTTAACGGTATAAAAATCTAATTTTTATCTTCATTAGAAAAAAAGTTATTAATTTTTAAAATTTATTGCAGGATTTTATACACGTTATTCGCCTATTCAAAGGCGATCCGGTTTGGACTGCTTTTAATCGAACAGACAAACAAGTAGAGAGTATGGATATTAGAAAAACATATCTTTCACAGATTGATTCACGAAAAATTATTAAATAAAAATTTTTTTTAAATTAAATGTAATATTTTTTTGATTAAATAATTTCGTCAGGTTTTGGGTAGGGGAAAAAATCAGAATAATTGTGGGTATTTAATAATTGTAAAAAAATTACAAATTGTAATTCTGATTTGTTCTTTGTCTAAATATTTATTTAGCCAGTTACGCCTTTCGCCGAATTTCGCCTTTTTTTAGTGTTTCGTCTTTCGCCTTTTGTTTTTAAAATTAAGTCCGGCATATTTCTGGTATTTAGTAGAGATCGGTCTGGATCTGGATCCAGTATGGATTTTCCTGGATGCAGATCCAGAATCCTGTGGATCTGATGCAGATCAAGATGCAGATCCAGAATCCTAAATAATTAATTTAATTTTATGCAGATCCAGAATCCTGTCCAGGTTACTAACCTAAATCCAGAATCCAGCTCCAGGATTTTTGAAAATACCGATCTCTAGTATTTAGCAAGTATTTTGCGTACTTTTGCGCACACCAAAGTTTTATTAATTATTTTTCATAACTATACCCTAAAATGCCCCTCAGTTTCCTAAAAATGTTATGCTTTCAATATCCCTATTAAATAATTAATTTTATTTTTCAAATATAGCTTTATCTGTTTTGTATCATTTTCTACTATAATTATTAATTCTGACATTTATTTTTTACTTTTCTGACGTTTACTAAAATAAAACTCATTTTTCTCTCCTATAATAAATTCAATTGTTTTTTTCTTTCAGTAAAAGCATTTCCTGTCAAAGCTTCTTCAAAAAATCTCTTCACACTTTTTGATGTTCATTTAAAGTGAAGTTTGAGGGGGATTTATATTAATGCGTGGGAATATCTAAAGGGGTTGACATTGCCTAAAATAGGGGAAACTAGGGGGAAATTGGGGGGAAAGGGGAATTGAATGAGTAAACTAGAGAGTAGATGTGTTGAAAAAATTACTTGGAAAATTGCTAGATTTTTAGTGCTTTTTAGGAAAATTATAGGGAGATAAGGGGGATATGTTATTTATTTATTAGTCCATTCCAAGTAATATTTATTTATTTTTAGGCCATTTTTTGTTTACTTGTTTTTCCAAAAAAAAATTTTTTTTATTAATAAATTAGCCAAAAAAATTAATTTTTGGGAGAAAAAAAATTTTTTTTGAAAATTTTTGAAAATTTCAAAAAAAAAATTTTGAAAATTTTTTTTGAAAATTTCAAAAAAAAATTTTCAAAAATTTTTTTGAAAATTTCAAAAAAAAAATTTTTGAAAGAATTTTCAGAAAAAAATGACAGCAAAACGTGGCAGGCATTTAATCCGCGCAATTTTATTTATTGTCCGGTTAAGAAGGGATGTACAAAGTGCTCATAGACGTAGAACTACTAGAAGAAGAATGGGAGCATTAGCAAAAACGGCTGCAATGTTGAGGCAAAACAGTGGTGGTGGGGGTTGTTCTCCTAATAAAATGAAAGATCGTCCTCCTTTAACGAGGTGAGGGAGATATTTTAATTTAATTAAATATTCTGATTTGTTAAATTCTTTTTTTTTGTGAAATTCTGATTTTTAAAATTCAGAATTTTGGAATTCTGATTTTTGAACTTCTGATTCTTGCAAATTCTGATTTTTGAAATTCTGATTCTTGCAAATTCTGATTTTTGAAATTCTGATTCTTGCAAATTCTGATTTTTGAAATTCTGATTCTTGCAAATTCTGATTTTTGAAATTCTGATTCTTGCAAATTTTGATTTTTGAAATTCTGATTCTTGCAAATTCTGATTTGTTAAATTCTGAATTTGTAAAATTCAGAATTGTTAAATTCTGATTTGTAAAAAACATATTCTGATTACAATTGTTTATTTAATATTCTGACTTTAATAAAATTATTAAACTTGAAATTGTAAAACAAGTTTTGCAATTTAAAGTTTCATTTTTGTTTTTAGAATCTGTTCAGAATAAATAAACTTAGAAATTATAAAGTAATTCTGATTACAATTATTTAAAAATCCCTGAAAAAGTTTATTTTCTGATTTGTAAAAAGTTTACAAATTCTGATTTTTATTTTTAAATCAGAATTTTTTACTTATTTTCTCTCCCCTCAATTTTTAAGATGCGAATCTAGTCGGCGCCCTCGCCACGAACTTTTACGACAATCACAACACAGAAACAGTGCTCCTTCTACAATATACCCAGCACCAATTTCACCTTCTCCTCAGCCTTTAAATAATTTTGAGGAGGGTGAAGTGGAAGAGTCTAATAGTGAATTTGGTAGGGATTTTCTGATTTAATTCTGATTTAAAAAATAATTCTGATCTTTTTTTTCTGAAAATTTTTTTTTCTGATTTTTTCTTCTGAAAAAAATTTTCCCCCTTTTAAGAATCATTTTTTCAAATGCCTTCCCCTTACCAACAATTACAGAAAGAAATTTATTCTTCCAAAGCTCATAAATTTGCCGTTAACTCAATAAAAGAAGAAAAAATAAATAATTTTAGTGAAGAAAATTCTGAAAAATTATTAGAAGAAAATAAGGAAAGGAATGATGAAAATGAATCTAAAATTACTGGATGGCTAGATCCTAAAGGTAAATGAATGGGGGAATTATAGTACACAGAAAAATAAAAATTAATAATTCTGATCTGTAAAACTTTTTTACAAATTGTAAATATTCTGAAATTTCAGAATTTATAAATAAAATTCTGGTTTTATTTGTAATTCAGAATATTTACAATTACGAATTAAGTTTTACAAATCAGAATAAAAATATAAATCAGAATAAACAAGTTTTAAAAAATTCTGATAATTGTAAAACTTGTTTTTACAATTTGTAAAAAGTTTATTTTTTATTCTGATAATTTTTAAAACTTGTTTTACAATTTGTAAAAAGTTTATTTTTATAATTTTCAGAATTAACTGATTTATTAGAAAAAGTTGAAATTCACAAACTTGGAAGTGACTGGCAAAATTGTAATTTTAAAAATTTTTAAAATTAATTTGTATTTTTATTTTCCCCAAAAAAGTGTTTCCATCAACCTCAAATGCTTGCAATAAACGAAGCAAAAATGGAAATATTAATGGGAATAATACAACTGCGGGTTTAAGACAATTATTCTCTGCTGGGGCTAAATTAGTTAAAAATGTACAGAGGTGAGGGAGAAAATTAAAAAATTTTTAAATTAAAAAAATTATTTTTTCTAGAGGCCTTTATTTAGCAACCTTATTTTACACTGAAAATGGGAGAATTCTTTGCACGGTGTGTTTAATTTAAATTTAAAAATTTTTTTAATTTTTTGAAATATTAAAAATTAAAATTTAAAGGTAGATGATTGTCTTCCAGTAATTTGTGTGGATGAAAATTTTACTGGAAATGGGCTTAATCCAGATGAATTTCATTGGTTATTGAAGGTATAGTAAATAGAAATTTTTTACAAATTCAAGTTTATTTATTCTGAAGAGTGAATGAAATTGTAAAACTTGTTTTTACAATTTGTGAAAAAGTTTTAAACAAAACAATTGTAAAATTATTTTTACAAATTGTAAAAAGTTTGAAATTGAAAATGCTCATAATTAAACTTGCTTACAATCAGAATAAATGGACTTACAATTTGTAAAATTATTTTCAGAATTTATTTTACAAATTGTAAAAAGTTTGAAATTTCAAGTTGGTTTATATAATTATTTTTACAAATCCAAGTTTATTTAATTCTGAGCAAGTTTTGTATTAAAATAAAACTTGAATTTGTAAAACTTGTTTTACAATTTGTAAAAAAAAGTTTATTGATTTCTAACGTGTTCTTTAAAGTTGTCTCTTTGTTGGAATCAACTAAAACAATTACAAAATGCTTTGTTAAATTGTAATACAGCTTCAGCAAATTGCAGCATTAGAATAAGACTGTTAGAAGCAGCATCAGCGATGCATAATGCTTTGGGGGTTAAAGGTGGGGGTATTTTTTTGAAAATATTTTTTGTCTAAAAAAATAATTTTTTAGATATAGGCAGACTTCATTACGCCCCTTTACAACCCCGTCCTGGTACTCATATTTTAGTAACTGTCCGTCTACTCCTTACTAAAGATAATGATGTTGTGTTAGCAGCGCAAGGTTTAGCCTTGAGATGGATGCGTTTAGCAAAATTTTTAATTAGAAGACAAGGGTGTTCTGTGATGGAAGTATGTTTATTATATGTTTAATAGCATATAATACAAGTAAATAATTTTACAATTTGTAAAATAAATTCTGAAATTAATTTTACAAATTGTAAATTAATTATTCTGATTGTGAACAAGTTTAATTCTGAGCAATTCTAATTTTAGAATTTATTTTACAGTTTGTAAAACAAGTTTTACAATTTCAAGTTTTATTTTAAGCTTGTTTACAAATTGTAAAAAACAAGTTTTATAAATTCAAGTCTTATTTTAAGTTTGTTTACAAATTGTAAAAAACAAGTTTTACAATTTCAAGTTTTATTTTAAGCTTGTTTACAAATTGTAAAAAAAGTTTTACAAATTCATTTTCTTTTAAAACTTGTTCAAATAAATAAACTTGGATTTGTAAAAATAACCAACTTGAAAGTTCAAACTTTTTTTACAATTTGTAAAAAGTTTTTACAATTATTAATTTTTAGTCATTAAAACACGAAATGCTTCCAATACTCAACTTTTATGAATCTTCTTTAATTAGCCTTAAACCCGGCCTTTATTTGGCTTATTTAAAATTACAATCTTCACTAAATTGTGTTAATGTGTTAATTCCAGAAAATTTTACGTCAATTTTGCCGTTTGCTAGTAAGGGGGGATTTTTTTAAATTTTTTCAAAAAATTTTTAAGAAATTCGATCAAATAATTTTTTAACTCAACAAGAATGGATATTTTTACAATCTTTAAATTGTAATAATAACGGAATTATTATTAAAAAAGAAAAATCAGAACAACAACAAATATTTACTGAAGAACAAATTAATTTTCAGAAACAATTGGCTAGTGCTGCCAAAAATGTTTCTTCTTCTTTAATTTAAAAAATAATTCTAATAGACGGTCAAACCTCTTTTTTAAGTACCCCCAATATTAGATACACCTCTATTTAATAGACGGATTTTTTTTAAAAAATGGTTGGCCATTGGGTTGGAGTTGTCGGGGTTATACCCTTTATTTAATGTACTCTTCGTTACCTCGTTATAAGATATCCTCTATTCTACGTACCCCCATTATAAGAGACTATTTTTTAATTTCCAAGAAGGTACTTATAATAAGGTCTGACACAGTCAATTTCGAATTCCAATGGCTATCCGAACTTTTGAGGAGCTGCCTGAGCGATATCTTCCATTTAAGATACATCTCGTTATAAGATACAATTTTTAATACTGAAGAGGGTACCTTATAATGAGATTTTATTAAAAAAAATTTTTTTTCAAGTTAACAATAGACTTGGATTTAAATAAAACCCAAATATCAACAACCAGAATATTCTTCCATCGCCTAGTTCGTCTAAACAATCAAGTTTTGTTAATATTAGCAATGCCTAGACCTGAAGAAGTTTGTCCAATAATAAATAATTATTCTTCAACACCTATTAGAGGAATAAATTTAAATAATGGAAATAATAATTGGACAAATAATTTGTTAAATTTAAAAAATGAAAATATAAATAATTGTTCTCCTCTACAACAACAACAACAATTTAGAGGGTGTTTGTCTATGCCTGTTTCTGTTTTTCAAATAGGTAAAAGAGAGAGAAATACAAAACCAGAATTATTTTGTAAAAAAATAAATCAGAATTACAAATTGTAATTCTATTCAGAATTAAACATGTCGTTATAAAACAGAATTAAAATCAGAATTATTAATTACCAGAATTACAATTGTAATTAAATCAGAATTATAATAAAATCAGAATTATAGTGTAATAATAAAACCAGAATTATTAAATCAGAATAAAACAAAATTATAATTGTATTTAAATCAGAATAAAAAATCAGAATTATTTATTCTAATTTTTTAAAACCAGAATTTTTGTCTAAAAATTATTAAAAATCAGAATTATTGTTTAAAAAGGGAATCAGAATTAATTACCAGAATTACAAATTGTAATTAAATAAAAATCAGAATATCATAATAAAAATAAACGAAAAATCAGAATTTTTAAATCAGAATTACAAATTGTAAAATTAAATCAGAATTAAACATGTCGTTGTAAAACAGAATTAATATCAGAATTATTAGTTACCAGAATTACAAATTGTAATTGAATAAAAAATCAGAATTACAAATTGTAATTAAATAAAAATCAGAATTACAAATTGTAAAAATATCAGAATAATTTAATTAAAATTAAAGTTAACATGTTCGCCTACCAACCAACACTTTTATCAACATATTGTCATCTTTCTGTATTTTTGGATCATTTTTTAATGTTATTACAATATGAACAACGTGCTTGTTTAGACCAAACTACAGCATTTTTATATTCAGAACAGTTAAAAATTCTTGGACAATTTCAAAAAAATTTGGACAAATGTTGGAGATCAGTACGTTGGATTAGCGATTTTGCCTCGATTGCGAGGGAAAGGGCTTATTTAAATAGGTGACGGGTTAATTAATTATTAATTAAAATCAGAATTCTTTTAAAAATCAGAATTTTATTTTGAAAATCAGAATTTAAAAAAAAAATCAGAATTTAAAAAAAATCAGAATTTAAAAAAAAATCAGAAATTTTTACAGAAATTTTTTAAAAATCAGAATTTACAATTGTAAATTATTCATCAAAATTTTCCTTTAAAATCAGAATTTTTGTTGGTTAAAAAATAATTGTAAAATTAAAAAAAAATAAAATCAGAATTACAATTTAATTTTTATACAGGCGTCGATGGTTCCCTTTGCCTGTTTTATTTAATCAACCTTCCCCCCTAACAATAACAAACAATTTTCAAGTTGATGAGGAAAATAAGAAAAATATATTCAGTGAATAAAATATTTGTTTTTTCATTAAAAAAATTTTTTTTAATTTGAAAATGGTAATACCAAGTTTTGCCCTCCTTTTTTTTAAAGAATTAAGGTAACATCACGAGGAAAACCGAAAATAATAAAAAAATTAGGGATATTGAAGAAAAAAAAAGAATTTTAGGGCGACGAAACTTGGTTTTTATTACCTAAAATAGTAAATTTGTTAAAACTAAAAAATATTCTCACATTTTTTACTCCACAAAATTACTATATATATTTATAATAAAACAAAACGGATTAATTTACATTAGATTTTCTCATTACCCTTCAAAAAGCTCAAAGATTCTATTAATCTAAAATACCCTTCCCCCTCAAATAAAATAAAATTATACGCCTCTATGTGTAGTGTGACTTTTTTTGAGACCCAGAGTCTAGGCCCAGGCATTTTTTGAGATCGGCCTGGGTCTGGACAAAGACCTGGGTTTTCCTGTACCCAGAGTCTAGGCCCAGGCATTTTTTGACTGTGACTTAATCTAATGCAAAAATAACACTAAAAATAATACCTTTAAATCAAAAAAATATATACTTCTTCCTATTTCAACAAAGAATTGCAATCAATCAAATCCAAAATTGCCGCTCTCAAATCCCCCTCATATTGAATCAATTTTGCTTCGGCAACAATTCTGGGGACTTCCAATTCTTGCATCTTAAAAGAGGGAGATTTTTAATTTTAAAAAAATTAAAAAAAAATACAAACAATAAGTTGAATATCGTCCCTCTTAATAGTAAAATTTTTCTGCTCAGGTTGTGCCATCTTCAAATTTCCCAAAGACTCTCTAGAAATCTCACTGACAGCTTCTCTATCTTCGTGGAAGTCGGTGACCTTTTTAATAGAATTCTTGGAAAAATTAGAAAGAAAATTAAACCTTTTCCAAATCTGCAGCAGCCTGTTTATCAGCTTGAGCATCTTCTTTGGGCACTTTTTTGACATTGTCAACATCGTCATCCTCAACGTGATTGTTGTTGGTGGCAACAGAAGGAGGATTTTTGGACATCTTTTAACTAAAGAAGCAAAAAAATTAAAAAACTAGCCGAGAAATGAAAAGAATTTCGGAACAGCCCAAAACGGCGCGAGACCATAACGGCGTAAGGCTATAACTTGCTGGAAAATTTCTGGCTCGTATCAATTTTGGTACCAATCTCTTTAGCTCGATGAGAGGAATCGTTTGATACCAAATTTGCTAAGATTAAGAAATCTTGAAGTAAGTTATGACTTTGCGCCGTTATGGCTGCGCGCCGTTTTGGGCGTCCCTAATAAAATGTCACATTGTCTTTTTCTCTAATTTGTTCTCGCTTCATTAAAATTTCTTTAATAGGACATAAAGTCATTTTAATTTGTTTTTAAACAGAATGCCAAAAAGAAAATATTTTAATTTTGCAAATTTTTGAAACATTGAATGATTCATTTTTGGTTGAATTTTTTTTAATTTTTTTCTTTTTTGGTGCTTTCTTAATGTTTTTATTTTAGTTTTAATAAATGGACCAAAGTATTGCTCAACAAAAAATCAAAGATTTGACAACAGAAATTGAAGGAAAAATTCAGCAAGTCAACGCAACAGTTTGTGATCTTTTATATTCCCTAGATCTCCAAGAACAGGGAGGGAAATGTGATTGGTCTGACATTGTTCAAAAATTTTGTTCTCTCTCCAGCACATTTTCTAAATTGGAACAAATTTTACGCAAACCAGGAATTGATTTTGATGATAATGCTAAATTATTGAAAATGACTCAACTTGTTCCTCAAATTGTTTCTCTTGAACATGACAATACTTTACAGGTTTATATTTTATTTTTAAGGAGGAATAATTTGAAAATATCTGTGGTTTAAGGAGATAACAGAAGGACGTCTTTCTACTTTTGATCACAATATTGTTCCAATTCTGTTAAGGACTAAGTTGAAACCTGATGTTGAAGATGAAGAGCTTAGTATTGACAGGGATAGACTGTCCAAGCAAATTGATGTTAATAAACAAGTGAGTTTTTATCTAAAACAAGAGATTCTGTCGAATACTGTTGTCGGTGGCTGCGAACTCTTCGACCCTTCAACCGTACATCCCCTTTTCAGCAATTCAACCGAATTTAAAAGGAACATCGGGCTCGGCACCTTCACTTTTACTATGACCAATGAAGTAGAAGATTACCCTTACTATCTGGAACCGAACAGGAAAAAATAGTTCGGTGGGTTCCCACATGAACTTAATTAAGAGACTTTTCCAAACTTTAAAATAAGTTTTATTTTTCGGTAGATAAAATCAATTAATGCACATGTTGACATGCTTTGCAGTAAATTAAGCGAATTTAGTCGTTTACATGTTTTGGACCGCAAAGAATTTCAACAATCGTCACATGAAGAAACGATGAAATTGGTTAAAGCTGTTTGTCTTGGAAAAGGAATTCAGGTTTTTTTGAGATTTTTTAGATAAAATTTAAATAAATTTTAGCCCAAGACGTCAGCAATGGCAACAACTGCAAGTCCAAACAAGCCTTCAACAAGTGCAGCATATCAACATGTAAAGCCGGAAATTAAAAGATAAATTATTTTTTGTTTAAAATTTGGTTGTTTATTCAAATATTTTTTGCATTTTTTAAAAATATTTTTTTAATAATTTTCGTTGTCTTTAAAGTGGTTGGATAATTTGCCAAAATTTTTTTTTAAATTTTTTATTTATTCATTTTTTGAATTTTGACAGAAATAACCAACCTGTTAAATGCATTTGCCTCCTGTGGTGATTGATTGTGGAACAGGGTATTTATTTTTAAATTTTTTTTAGAATTTTTGGGAATTCACTAATTTTTCCTTTTAGTTACACAAAACTTGGGTATGCAGGAAATAGTGAGCCCCAATTTATTATTCCCTCAACTATTGCCATTAGAGATGCGGTGACTGCAAAGAGTAGTGGTGGAGGAATGGGGAAGATTGATGATTTAGACTTTTTCATTGGAGATGAGGCTTTGTCTCCAGCTGCTGCGAACTACTTTGTTAAGGTTTTTCTTTATTTTTTGAATAAAAGCTTAAGTTTCAGTTTATGACGAAAGTGTCTTGTCTATTTTAATTTTTGGTACCTTTTTTATCTGTAAGTGCGGACAACTTTTTTCGGACTCTCTGCTTTTTTCTAAAATAAAGACCGAAATTATGACCCTTCCATTTGCATTTCATAAAATTATTAAAATTAAATATTTCAGCATCCTATAAGACATGGAATGGTTGATGATTGGGACTTGATGGAACGTTTTTGGGAGCAATGTATATTTAAATATTTGAGAGCAGAACCAGAAGATCATTATTTTCTTATGGTTAATTTTTTGATTTTTCTGAGTAAAATTTATATTGAATTTTCTAGACAGAACCTCCATTAAATACCCCAGAAAATAGAGAATATACAGCAGAGGTAATGTTTGAATCCTTCAATGTTCCTGGTCTACTTATTGCTGTACAAGCAGTTTTGGCACTTTCTGCTTCTTGGCAAGAAAAACCAATTGATGGACGTTCTTTAACTGGATTGGTTTGTTAAATATTTTTGATATTAAAAAATAAAAATTTTAAGGTAATTGATAGTGGAGATGGTGTTACTCATTGTATACCAATTGCTGAAGGTTTTGTTATTGGCTCCTGTATAAAACACGTTCCAATTGCTGGGAGGGATATTACATATTTTATACAACAGGTTTTTTGAATTTAATTTTTGGGAGAATGTGAAACTTCTACCGTTTAAGGAGGCCACAGGTCTCTGACCATTATGAGACCAGTGTTTTTTATTTGACCCACAAATATAATGTGGGTCAAGTTAAATTTGGAACCTAAAATATATTTATCATGGTCAGAGAATATCGGCCCCCTTAAATGGCAGGAGTATACCATTTTATTTTTTAATATAAAGTTGCAACGTGAACGAGAGGCAGGAATTCCAAGTGAACAGTCTTATGAAGTTGCTAAAGCTATAAAAGTTGGGTTTTTTTTATTTACCTTTGGAACTTGAATTTTTTAGGAAAGATATTGTTATGTTTGTCCAAACATACAGAAAGAATTTGTTAAATATGACACAGAACCAGATAAATTTGTTCAATGCTATCATGGTCTCAACAATGTAACCAAAAAACCTTTTACTATTGATGTTGGACATGAACGATTTCTTGGACCTGAAATTTTCTTTCATCCTGAAGTATTTTTTATAAATTATTATTACGGCTTGGAAAAATAGGCAAAGTTTTAGTTTGAATCCTTTTTCTTTCCTTTTTTCATGTTATATCATGGCGGGTATTTATTTTCTTCGTGTTGGAAATAGTAGCTCGCATTACCAACTAGGGATTCGAACCACCAACTTTGCATGTTTTCCCCAGCCTTAACATTTTTATTTTAAATTTTTTGTTTAGTTTGTTAGCTCGGACTATGTAACTTCAATTTCTGAGTCTGTTGATCAAGTAATCCAACAATGCCCGATTGATGTTAGACGTGGTTTATATGAAAATATTGTTTTGTCTGGTGGTTCTACAATGTTTAAGGTTTTTTGGAAAAATAAGGGGAGGATTATTTTTAATTTTTAAAGGACTTTGGTCGTCGTCTTCAAAGAGATTTAAAGAAAGCAACTGATCAGCGTTTAATGTTAAGTGAGCAATTGTCTGGTGGTAAAGTTAAGGTTATTATTTAATTTTTTAAAAGAATATTAAATATGAATGCCGAGATAATCTTCTCAAAAGTCCAAAATGAGGATTGTTACAACCTTAGACGTCAATATAGCAAGTGGGCTTCTGGGGAGCTTCTGGGGCTATAACCCCCCCCCCCCCATGAAATGGGGAAAGTGAAAAAATTTTGAGAGAGAAATGGACAGAAAAGTGAATTTTTTACGCCTACAGCCCACAAAATCATTTGTGTTCGGAACGCCAAATTTGTTAAAAAGATTTTAATTTTTTATCTTTTTTCAGCCGAAAAATATAGATGTTCAAGTAATTTCACACAAAAGACAACGTTATGCTGTTTGGTTTGGTGGTTCTATGTATGCTGCATTGGTAAATTAATTTTTATATTTTTAATAAAATTTATTTAAATTAGCCTGAATTTTACAATGCTGCCCATACGAAAGCAGAATATATGGAAAGAGGAGCAAGTTGTGTTCGTTATAATGATATTTTTGGTTCAGTCGCTTAAAATTGTTTATTAATATTTCTAATAAGTTATTTAATATATTTTTTTTATTTTGCCGAATTTTTCCGTTTTTAATATTAATAATAATGCCAAAAATTAATTAGTGATTTTGACGTCTATAAATTTGTTAATATTGTTTTGAACAATTTATTATTTATTTTTTTCGAAATTTTTTGACTTTTCTTTGGTCATTTTTAGTTTTAATTTTTATAAAAAAGAAAAGATGGAACTTGGGGTTGTTTTATATGATCAATCAGAAATTGTAATAACTAGTCAAGGAAACAAAATTAGCAGAAAAGCAAAAACCTATGGAACACAAAATATTAGATTGAGTGGATATGTGGGTTACTTTTTTTATATTTTAAAAATTTGTTTAAATTTAGACAATTGTGATGAGGGATGTGTTGCTCAGAGGAGATTTAGGTTTCTTTTAATCATATAGCCGGACCTCATTTTAAGTTACACATTAGATGCACCTCTATTTAAGACACGTTTTATTATAAAAGTTGGTAGGCCAATGGGTTAGAAGTGCCTATAATTAAATGTGGCGTAATGCCAAATAACAAACCTCCAAAAACCACCGAAATACCAAACTCCAAAAATCTGGTCAATTTAAGATACGTTTTCCTTTGAAGTTTGGTTGGAGCGGGGAAGTGTTGTTCAGATGATACCCTCTATTTAAAATACACCTCATAAGTTTTGATTTTTAAGCCCAATGGGTGAGTCAAGGTACCTAATCCCAAGGTACTTTGAGGTTCAACTGTATTAAAATAATTTTTAAAATTTTTTATTTTTAAGCTCAAATACGTTATGGAAAATATTGTGTTCTTCAAGAGGTTATTCTAATCTAAATTGTGTTTAAATATTTTTTAATATTTAGGGAACTATTGTTAGGCCTCCAAGTAAATGCTTCAGGTTTTTTTAGTTTTTAATAAAATTTATTTTTTTAATTTCAAGTAATGGACTTGTTTTCTTCCCTGTACATTTTGGCGATTATGTATTTATTGAAAAGGTTTAATTTTCTATTTTATTTTTTTAAATTTTTGTGGTAGATTTTTTGATGGATTTTTTTAGATTTATGAATTGTGGAAAGGCGTGTTTTCAAAAAAATTTTAGGTTAGGGAGTCAACGATAAGATTAGCTTATTTTGTTGGTGGAATGAAAAACTGGTTACATTTGTTTTTTCTAAATTTTCGATTATTCTTTCGAACATTTTGTTCACCTCTTGTGGGGCCCGTAGTCTTTTATTAGATACCTTAATTTAATTTAAACAATTTCCCTTTTAAATATTTTTTTAATTTTTCAGAATTGTATAATTGAAGCAGTCTATATTGGCCATTATATCCACATTGGAGAAGGTTGTATTATTGGACAAAGTTGTGTGATTAAGGACTGCTGCTACATTAAAGCCAATAGTGTTATTTCTCCTGATACAATCATTCCACCGTAAATTTATTTTTCCTTTAATTTTTATAAAATATTTATGAAATTAGTGTCGTTTATTCTTTGGGTTTAGGGGTTATTTTTAAATTTTGTAACATTGTTTATGATTTTTTGGTGCTTTTTTGGGTTGTCATGTGAATCTTTTGATTTTCAAAAATTAAAAAAAATTTTTTCTTATTATAACCAAAAAAGTACCAGTGTTCCTGGGTCCTAAAGCAAGCTTTTTATGAAAAGTTAAAAGTTGTCACAATTAAGAATTGGTGAAAGTAAAAAAATCAGATGGGACGAGGACATTTTATAATTAAAAAAATTTTTTTTGTAGATTTTCAATAGTCGAAGGCAATCCAGCTAGAGTTGTTGGTGAATGGATACTTTCTGCGACACAATTGATGACGGAAGTTTGCCAAAGTTTTTTTGATAATTATTTACCTGAAACGGTTTTAAAAAGTTCAATGACCAATCTTTCATGAAAAAATTTTTTAAATATATGTTTTTTGACAGTTCCCTTGTATAACGTAAATGGGTATTTATTTGTAATTTAAAAATTTTTTGATTAAAAATTTTTGTTATTTGTTTCAAATATTTTTATTTATTTACTATATTTTTTTAATTTTTTTTTTCATTGAAAAATTTGTTCTAAAATTTTTTTAAACTAGAAGAAAAAATGCTTCCAGCAGTCAAATGGCTAAATTCAAATACAAACAAATTATTTGTTATAGACCAAGAAATGTTTAGCCTTTGCCGTGTTGTTGAAGACAAAAATGAATTTAATAGTGGGGATGTAAATAATAAATTAAATACTATTAAACAATTAAATACTTGTGCAGTGACTAAACAAGAACAGGTTTTTTTCTTTAATTTATTTTTGGATTTTTGTTAACCGGAAATTTTTTCCCCAGGGGACTGGAATAACTCATGTTTCTTTAATTGTCCTTTTGTTAATTTTATTTAATCTCGTTGTTAGAATTTTACAACTTTGTGGGTACCTTGTTTCTGAAAAAACTCCCTTGTTTCTTATTTTTTCTAATGGCCTGGCAATAACTTTATTTTTTAAATTGTCCTTTTGTTAATTTTAATTAATCTCGGGGTTTGAATTTTCCAATTTTGTGGGTACTTTGTTTCTGATTTTTCTAGATACAAATGTCTATTGGAGATAGAAAAGGTCGTGTTCTAATGTGAAAAATATTTTAATGTCTAATAGCAAAAATAAATATCTTCGTCCTAGAATTTTCTTCGTTTCGGGTCCTTTCTCGGATTCTCTAGATCTTTCCACATCTTTCTTATATTCCCTGGGGCCGTCACACCCTTCCTACAACATCCTTATTTTAATCTCTTTTAAAGGACACACTCCGTACCTTTGCATTGGACCACTCACCTGAAAGTTATTTGGCTTTGGGTTATTCTACTGGAAAAATAAGTATATTTTCTGCAGAAAATGATCAAACATTGAGGTTAAAATTGTTTTTAATTTTAATTAAATTATTTTAAAGGCGTGCAAAAGACTTTAATGATACATCCAAAAGTATTTCTTGTATGCAGTGGAGTTATGTGGATATAAACAAAATTTGTGTTGCTTATGAACGGTTAGTGAAAATATTTTTTCTGAAAAATAATTTTGTTAATAAGATACTCTTTGGGGTCGAGACGATGGTCTCTTATAATTATTGGGGTATACTCATGTCGATAGAAGGTCTTATAGTTAGACAACTCCCCGGCTTAATAGTGCACTAAATCTAGAAAATAAAGAAGGGCTACGTATATCCCTAGGTACATAGAGTAGAGTTACATTAACTAGTGGGTTGAATAGAGGTTCGTTTAGGCAACTGTATTTTATAAAAATGTCTCCTAAACTGAGGTGTATCTAATATTTGGATGCATTTTATAATGAGATGTTGCTTTAAAAATTGAATTTTATTTTAGTGGTAGAGGGGCAGATTATTCTGTCATTGTATACGATTTGTACAAATTATTGAGACAACACCCAAGAGAGCAATGCGTTTCTATTTTTGAATTAAATTTGGCTGAAAAAATTGCTGGAATTTCTTGGCTAAAGTTTTTTTTGAAATTTAATTTTTATTTTTTAAAAATATTTTCTAAAGGGATGAACCAAATTTGTTATTAATTAGTGGAAGTAGAGGACTAAGAATAGCAGATATTCGTGAACATGGAAATTTTCAAAGTGTTTTGGGCGTTCAAACATCTTTGGTTTGTGTTCTTTGTTATTTTCTAAAATTTGCGGACTAAAAAATTTTTTGCGGACAGAATTTTTATTTTTCGTTTTTTTTTCTCTTGACAAGGCGTTTGGGTAATTTTTAATGTTTTCCATGCATTTATGGGTTTGTCCGCAACTTTTTTTACTACGAAAATTTTTGTCCGCAAATCTTAATCTGCAAAAAATTTTTTTTAAACAAAATTTTTATTTTTAAATATAAGATGGGTGTTTGCAGCGAACCAACAGCTGGACACCTTTTTGCATGTCATTCAAGGAATTATTTATATATTTATGATAGAAGATATTTAAATTATTCTCCAGTACATGCAATTGAAGCGTGTGTATGTTTTCTTTTTTTAGGGCAAATTTAAAAAATTTTCAATTTTTTTTTCTAGTCATCAAATAAAATAATAAATAAAATTAGTTGGCATCCAAAAAGAAGTTTTAATATTTCTTTAATTGCAAAAGATTCTGGAAATTTTTATAGTTTTTCTATTTCAAAAAATGCTTTTATACAACAAGAAAAATGTGAAATAATTAATGAACAAACACAAAAGAATAGCAACAACAACAATAATAATAATACTAGTCCGAGAAGTGAAATGGCTGGATATGCTTATGGAAGTAAACTATTTTATGTAAGAAAATTCAAAAAAAAATTTTTATTTAAAAAATTGGTTGGAGACCCCACCAAAGTTCGAACCCTTTCACTCCAGAAAAAAATTAATTTACCCTTAAAAATGTCCCTGGAAAAAATTTTTTCGTTAAAAAATGAAATTAGACCTAAAAGAAACATTTTTGGAATGAAAGGATTCGAACCTTGTTGCTTTTTGTAAAATTAAAAATAAAAGACTAGAAAGTTTGCACTTAACTAGAGTATTTAAGCAATCAAAGGGAATTGTAAAAATAATTCCGCCTGTTTTACAATTTGTAAAAAATGTTTTGATAAATGATTTAACGTTTTGTAAAAAATGTTTTGATAAATGATTTAACGTTTTATTTTATTAAAGGCTGTTGTTGTCTTTTTGGTTAATTGCAACATTTCTTGGTTTTGACTTTTAATTTAATTAAATTTCATTAAGGTTCGAATCCTTTCAGGCCTAGATCTTTTTTTTAATAAATTTTCTTTTTCTCAATTTTATTTTTAAATTAATTTTTTCAGGTTCCAGGCATTCCAAAATTAGGTTCATTCGATTGGCATCCACATATTGCTGATTCTATTGTTTTTCTTTCTTCTAAATTTAATATGGCTGAATTATCAAAGGATCTCGCGATAATTAAGGTTTAGAAAAAATTTTAATAAAATTTTTTATTTCATTTTAGCATCGAGAAGATGTTTCTACAGCCATTGCTTGTGATAACGAATTTGCTTTAATTACTGGTAGACGATTAAAATTCGAAAATGGATTTCATAATATTCCTCTAAATGAAGACAAAGTTAAAATTTTAAAACAAAGGGCTATAGATGGATATGGTTATGGAAATACTTTGAGTTGTACACAAAGTAAGAAGAAATTTAAAAATTTAATTTGAAAAATTTTTTTCTAAAGCTTTAATTGATTCTTCTCTTAAAATTATTGAAAAAGATAAATTTGCGGATGATGATTTACGTTTTTGTTGGCATTGGATATATTCAATGTTTAATTCTCCTGATGCTGGTGAAATGCATAAAAATTATGGAACTATGTAAGAGTATGAGGATTTTTTTTTATAATTTTTTTTAATTTTTTTTTCAAGCTTTGTTGGCGTTAGGCATATACTTACCGGAGCTAAAGCAACCTCAACTATTAAACACGATGAAATTACATTTAGAAATCGTGTATTTTTTATGCGAAATTTCTTTAAAAAATTTTTTCTTTTCTCAGTTATTTATTAACGATTCACGACTTAAAGTTCTTCGAATGTGTAATTGGCCAAATTATAGTGACAGGGAAGAATGTAAAGTTGTATTGGATGATTTATCAGCAAGTGGACATGTTGAAGAAATTGCTAGGGTTGCTGCTATAGCTTTATTTTGTGTGCAGGGAATGCTTTGTTTGGAGGTTTCTTTGAATTAAAATTTATAAAACGGGGACATCATTATAAGGTACACCTTATATTAGATACCCATATGTTTAAGAGATGGTTTTTTGAAAATTTGTTTGACCACAGGTTAAGGAGAGAATACCTTCTATTTGAGATACACCTCTATTTAAAAACCTCACTATAGGATGCACTCAATATTGCATACACCTCTATTTAAAAGACGGTTTTTTTATAATTTGGGAGATTAATGGGTGGCAGAGCTACTTATTTAAAATAATAGAAACCCCCCTCTCTCCCCCAATTATAATATTCTAGTACTTTTTCAAACCCAGCGGGGGTGTCTTATAGTGGTGAGGTTCGAAATTTGTAAAAACCCCTATAAAATTCTTTTTCAGTATCTAAAAGAATTTAATGAGCGTGTAAACTCTCCCGAATTTATTGAAAATCGAGAACCTGAAATTGTAAATTCTTATCAAAAAATGGCTGGTAAATTTTATTTTATTTTTGAAATAAATAAATTTTTTAAAGATATTATTTTAAATATATTTCAACGTTATGATGGTGTTAGAGTACCAAATTATGAAAATGTTTGTGAAGAATTGAGTGATGATGTTTATTTACTTGCTATTGTTAAAGTTAGTTATATTTTGATTTTTTTTTGATTTTTAAAATTTTCTAAATTTAAAAGTTTCTTGCTAGACGTGACAAAATTTACAATAAAATTTATAATGAAATATTTGAAAGTGTAAGTTTCTTTTTAAAATATTTTTATAAAAATTACTAGGTGTAAATTATATAAATAAACCTTTAATTCTTTTTAAAGATGGTTTCGAGCAGGCCCGTAGCCAAGACTTTTTCGGGGGAGGGGCAAGGGGAAAATTTTTCTGTGCCTTTGATTTTTAGCGTTACAGGCGAGAATTTTGAGAATTTTAGAAGGCTGTAGGCCAAAAAATTTACTTTTCTTGAGATCGCAGATTTTTTAAAAATTTACTTTGTATCGTGTATTAACTCTAAGGATTTATCAAAATAATTTTTTAATTTTAAAGAATATTCGGTTAGAAGATAAATTAGCGTTTGCTGTACTTCACATGGATGACGATTTTTTAAATTCTGCATTGGATAAACTTACAAATGAACTTTTGTCTTTATGCCCTTTAAGTGCTTTATTTATTGTTGGATTGAAAGATGATCCTGTTTCTCATATGGTTTTACATCGGTTTTTTTAAATTTTTTAAATTTTTTTGTCAAAATCTTGGAACTAGCCAGACTTAGAAAATCTAAAAAAAAATTTTTGAAAAAATTTAGGAAGGCACAAATCAAAATTTTGACACGTCTATCTCTTACTAGGAAGCAAAACGATGAGACGGGTTAGGAAAAAAAAGTCAAATCTTGGGTTGGGTTTTTTAAATTTTCTCGGATCGGGATTAAGGTAACTCGTGGCATCCCTGATAAGAAGGACATGAACATTGAAAATGTAAATTCCTATTTCTGCTTTGATTTTAAACCTTAGGAAATTGGAAATCGCTCTCTAAGACAAGTATTTAATGTTCTTTTCTCATTTTTCCTTTCTTTTCTCAATGAGAAAAGTCTCATTAAAACTTATTGGTTCAAACAAATTTTTTTAAATTTAAAGTTATCTGGATATGTCATTTGATATTCAAACGACAACACTTCTTTTATCAATTGGAAATTGTTTTCAAGGCTGTCGATTTATTAACGATACTTCCCTTATTGGAATAAAATCTTCAGAATTATTGGAAAGAGCAATGTTTGAAATTATTTTTTCTTAATTAAAACCCCCCACCTTTTAAAGAGATTCCGAGGACATAAACAATTTAAGAAGAAAAAGTTTGTTGTGTTTTAGAGATTATATGGAATTGTTAAATCAATGGAAATTGTGGCTACAAAAAACTTTTCTTTGTACTTTTCTTCGTCCAGATACTCATTATGATGAAGCTGATGTTAGGCCGAATGTTGCTAATATTCAGGTAAATTTGTGTGTTTTGTTGGTTGCTTTTGGTTAGTTGACATTTTGAAAAAAATTTTTTGACTGGTTGACATTTTGGAATTTTTTACACAGTTGACCATTTTGAGATATTTTGCGTGAGTTGACATTTTTTAGACTTCTGACCATTTCGAGATATTTTAGCGAAATGACATTTTGAAATATTTTAGGGTAATTTCCATTTTGATATTCCAAGTAAATTTAAAAAAAATTTTCCTTTTAAGGCAGTTATCGCCTGCAACTTTTGTGGAGCTCCAATATACCCTTCAATAGCT